AACATACATATTTGATTTTTTTTTTGTCAGGAAAAACAAAGAGGATGTGGCTTAATTTTAAAAAGGGGTGTCAAGTTAAGCTTAAAGCCTGTCATATCTGAAGGTTAAGAGACATAGTAGTCCAATATAGCTGTACTGCAGGGTTGGCCATGGTGACCCAGCTGCAGTAGACTGTCTGAGATACTGCATGGCAGGGACTGCAGCAGCACAGGACATGTCAGGGGAGCTGGAAGAACTCAGCACCTTGTATCTTGCAGGCCACCATTGCTCACCTCTGTTTTTTTTCTGTGCACATGACAGATGCGACAATATGTATGTTTTGGCAGAAGCGTGGCAAAGTCTCCATTAAGGATATGGCCACAGCTTGCCTGAGGTGTTACTTAAAGCTTTTGCTGTATGGCCTAGATAAGGGCCTGTTTTGTCCACCCCTGGTCATGGTTGATGACAGATAAACCACAGGCCAGTCTCTTAACCAGATATGAAAAGTTATTGGACAGAAATAACCACTGTAAAGGAGCACTGTCAGTAGTGCTCTGAAATAGATGGACTTTAGGAGGACTTCCCTATGGAGTCCTTCAGATTCTCATGAACCATTACGTTTCTTACTGTATTATTTCTCAGATGCCCTGAATGATAAAACTACTGCATGCAGTTGGTTAGTGACAGTTATTTCCTTTTCTGCATATCCAGACCAGAAGATGAAATGTCTCTTCTGCAAGCTCTCCTTAGGGTGGTCTAAGCTCTATCAATTTACATAGCATTGCTTCTGACTTACAGCTACATAAATGAGTTCAAAATAACTCACAAAATCTCACTCTGAATAACTAGTTCTGGACATAGTTTTATCTTTTAAAAATACAGGTATCTTCCAAAGCACAGAAGAGAAGAGAGACATACTGAACTGCAGTTATTCACAGTTATTATGAACTGGTAGACAGTTTGATGGTTTTCTGGGTGAGAGAGATTCATCTCTGAAAAGCTCATTCCAGTTTTGCTGAAATAGTGGGTTTTACACTGATCAATTTTGGCCTGATGTGTTAGAGTAGATGTGACAGTAGTGTTCCGTGCACCTACATGAGACACATCCAAGTTTAGTACTGACAAACTGCTCGGATGCTTTGGGACCAGTAGATTTCTTTTATGTGCACAGTTGCAGACAATTGCTTCAGAACACAGTGTTTTCAGACACAGTTCAATGAGTGCGGCTGAAAGGTTGTCTCTGAGCTGTGAGGTTGGGGGTTTTTTCTGCTTCTTACATAGAAACTTTTAATTTCTGTATTTCATGTCCCAGTGGGATTGATCATTTTCTATATTTTTGGGGTTTGCCTTTGAAAATTAGACTAGTGAAAATTTTTAGGCCAGATGATTTACCCACTAAATCCCATTCTCCATTTGAGATGTAGTTGGAAATATCAGCCTCAAGCATCTGCAGGTCAATCAACCAGCCACTGTGAGTCCAGGAGCCAAACTTCAAATCACACTTCTGCACATCAAAGGGGAACCAGCGGACGTCAATGTAACATGTACTCTTCAAAATGCCTATGGAGAGAAAACAGTCAGAATCAAGCATTTGCAGGGTGCCATTCACCTCTACCCTTATCTGTCCAATCAATTGTGAGCAACTTTCTTCTCCAAAACTCTGTGTGATGTAGTCATGGGGTAACCAAACAAGTGGTGCAGGTGGAACATGTTGCCATGAGTGGAATAACTTCCCTTCCTGGGGCACCAGTGAAGATCCTTCTCTCTTTCACTGCATCCTTGAGGTAGGTTGCCCAGGACAGTCTGGCCACCCAGGAGCAGCCCAGCCTGTCTCCTAGTGCTGGCTGGCCCCACCAGATCACAGGCAGTGCTGCAGGGCCTGACAGGATGTAGAGTACATAGATGTCCATGCACTGTGGCTGGAGGTACTGTGACAAGCTCTTTGAAAGGAGTTCTTTGTCAGGCCCTGCATTAGACCCACAAACCCTTGAAAATACATTATTATGCTAAACCTTGCATGGTGCTGGCCATTATCTTCTGTATGTTAACCTGGGCCTTGAATTTTACTCTGGATGTGTCTAGTCCGCTATCATTATTTCATGTGAGATTTTCAGCAGTTTAAGAGATTAATACTTGTATATTATTGCAAACTAATTATTTCCTCTTTTTTGTTATTCAGCTGAGAAAAGAAAAAAAACAATCTAATGGATGCTCCAAACCTTTTTTTCTTGGGGCCATAGCTGTGGCTGTGGGGCTTCCCCAGCTGTCCAGCAGCATGGAGGGCTTGGAGAGTGGGGAAGATGACCTGCGCAGCCTGCATCACTGGCAGCTGGTGGTGAAGCGTACAGGTCATCCCCGCAAACCCTTATTCCCATGGGCCTTCGGCTTTGCAGCCTTCACCTTACCTCACCAGCTCACTGCATGCTGTCCAGTTCGGAAGCACTATGTGAAGGAGAGGCAGCTTCTGCTTCACTGGAAAATTATCTCCAATACTGCACTTAGACTACCTGTTTGCAGTAATTGTTTCTGTGTGCTCCCTAAAACACCAGCTAATGTGAATCCCAGCTCTGAGTCACCTAACTGAGCAGAGTTTGGTGTTTTGCAGTAAGTTCTTGAGCTATGCGTTTTGAAGATAATATCCCCAAAACAGAGATCCTTGGTTACTGTCTTTGCCTGCTGCTGTGAAGGCTGAGGGCATTGTGGCATAACCATGTGTGCAAGACCATGTCCCTGCACAAACACTGCTTCTCTGGGGTGGCTGGGTTCCCTTAATCTGTCCCTTTACATTCAGGGATGTCTGACTGCCACCATCATGGCCATTTTTGGATGGGCTACATGGAGGCTTTTCTCCCAGTTTTTCCTTAATCCTGGCTCTGCTCCTTTCCTTAACAGCAGACAGCTGTCCCCTTCTTGTCCTTTCTCTCTCCTCCTCCTATCTTTTTTCTCTAATGGAGAGCAGCAGTGAGTACAGCCTGCTCTCCAGAGTCATGGGAAATAAAACTTTCATGAAGCTTTGGAAACACCATCTTTTCCACTTTTTCATGCTTTCCAGTGTCTTGATTAATCTAGCTGCTTCTGTGAGCCCTTGTTGCCAGTCAGTAGCCTGATTATCAACTTTTTCCTTCTAAAATTTTGCAAAGTAGTTTGGTAGCAGTTAAATCCCTGTAACAAAGGATTTCTTGTGCTTTACAGAAGAGATTTCTGTTATCACTTTTTCTCTCTTTACTCTTTCCTTGGGTTCTTGAGTAACCAATTGACTATGGAGTTTGTAGATCACCAAGAGATGAGCAGGACACCAGATCTGCCCATATAGGTACCCTCTGCATCACCTCCCTACTTGGAGGGATGGAGAAGGCTCTGCTCTGGTACATGCCAATTTTATTCCTTTCTCATGTTGCTCCCTGGAGAGCAACATTACCCATGGGTCAACCACAGGGATGCTTTAAGTGGTCTCAGGGATAGGGATCAACAGAGGACCAGCTATCAGGGGAGACCCATTTGTTCCCTGGTGGGCTGTGTGGACATGCTTGGGGTAAGTCTGCCAGCAGCTATGGCAAAAAGTTTGGGCATTTCTTGTCCACCACAGTGAGCACCTGTGGAGATAGCATGGGTATTTACTGATAGGTCCTGGCTGCTGGCCCTACAGGCACTGAAGCAGCAATACAGCTGGAAAGCAGGCTGAGACTTGGGTCTGGCTGGCTGGGACCGGACTCAGTTTGTCCTTTCACCTGGAGCTGTAGCCTCAGCCTGGCAGGGAGGACTTCACTGCAGAGGGAGTGCTGCTCTTGGATTCTCCTGTGGTCACACGCCTCTCTACTCTCAAGAAAGAGCTAATTGGATTGCACATGAAATGTGATGTGAGGATGCACACCACCTTGTTTTAGACGACACCTCAGCTGGGCCTCTGAATGTTCTAAGCAAACTGCTCAGGAGACTGATTTACTGATTTGTGAAGTGGAAGTACGCCACTAATAATGGACTTAATTATTTCAGTGAGTCTGTCCCATAGTTACACAGCTTGCAAAATTTCCACAGACTGGTTCTAAACACCTTGATTTCATTCATGAACGAAAACTGCTTGTACTTATTTGACTTAAAGCAAACAAATGCTCTCTGTGCCCTACCTGGAGGAATATATTGGCAGGATCCAGAGTAATTCACCAGCACATTTGTGTGAAATGTCGCATCAAATCTTTCATCCGCACTATAACACAGTATAAACAAAACAAAGAAAAAGCAAACTGATGTTTGAGGTAAGATGTAGTAACTGTCAACATAAAAATAATCTTTTGGCTGAATTTAATGCACAGAATGTCTGAGTTAAGGCCCTACACCTGGATGAAGAGTCCACCCTCAATCACTATCTTGGCTTCTCATAGACACTGTTGGCCTGCACCTAGGCATGCTGGCTGCACGCTGCAATCTCCTCAAAGAAGTGAGAGGCAGAGCTGTTGGATGTCTCAGAGCAAAGGCAGAGGTGAAAGGAGCAAAAGCATCACAGTAGCTGTACCCAAAGACCGGACAGTCAGGACAATGAGGCTTTTCTGGGGCTGCTGTCAGAATCAAGCAGGTCACAGTGTAAATCAAGATATCTGTTACCCAGATATCTGTTGTAAGAGTAATGGTGGCCTGAGGCAACAATTCTGCAGTCTCTTAGAATGCAGAGGGGCCAAGGGTTTGCTTCAAGCAATGGAGGAAGGCACTGGGGAGAAGTTCTTTTAGATTTAGGGCTTGTAGGAGGAGATTCATTGAGACTCTGTGAGCAGAAACTAGTTGAAAGGGATCAAGAAAAGAGAATGTCTTTAAGATTCCAGCAATTCCGAGAAAAATAAGGGAGTAATGAGCTGGGTGAGGACAAGAATTCTTCAAGGGAGCAGGCCTGGGGTCTTGCTCCAGAGGGTCTCTTGGGAAGAGATTAACTATGGAGGGTTCCCCTGGCTGATGCTGTAGAGCCTTGCCTGTCACAGCTATGTGCAGGTCTGTGTTGCACGACTACACCATCTTACACACCCTGTCTCACAACTAGATGTGGAAAATTCAGAACCTCCGCTCTTCCTGTGACTTGTTCTTTACTCAGGTCTGAGTCCTCAGTCCTTAGTATTGTCCCCAGCACAAAACAAAGGGGAAAAAACTGAGAAGGCTAAGTGCAGATTGAGTATTAACTGTCAAAGGACATAAAAGGCAGCAAGAAGGGTTTTTATAAATGCAAGGAAACAAGGAAAAGACGAAGGACCAGGTAGATCCATTACTTGCTGTGGACAGAAAGGAAACAACAGGGTGCAGAGAACTGCAGTATCCTGCACCCTCTGTGCTTCACTCTTCACAAACTGTGGCTCACCACAGTTAATTCTCACACAGTGGCAGAAGACCAGGGCAGAATAAGGGAGGAACAGGTTAAAGAAGTGTAGATAAGACAGATTCCAGTTGGCAGGGCTGATGAAATTTACTCGTGAGAACTGAAGGTACCAGCTGAAATACTCTCTGAAGCATTAACAATTATCCCTGAGAGCTCATAGAGGACTGTGAAGGGCTTGGTGAATTAGGGAAGATCAAAGAGAATTCTGTTGTGTTTTTTGTAAAGGTGAAATTATAGACACATCAACCTAACTTCAAAGATAATGAGGTGGAAACAGCTGGCATAGATTTGTCAAGGGCCAACGGCATAAAATCAATCTAATTTTCTTACTGACTAACTGAGTAAGAGGAGGCAGGTGAGGTATCTGAACTTCAGAAAGCATTTGCCACATCATGTTCTTATGAACAAGGTACAGTAATATAGCCCAGGCTATAAGCCTCCTTTTTAGAGACTGAAAAGGAATAAAGAGACTGTGAGGAGTAAAGCTGAGGTAAAGAAGAACACTTAAACAATCCTGGTCACTCCAAGACTCCTTCAGATATCTTCTAGTGAGGGCTTAGAATGGAAAATGGATCTTGGGGCACTGGGGAAACCAACAGAATGAAATTCAATCTAGATTATTAGAAAGTATTACCCTTAAAAATGTCAGTGAAAGACAGATCAGTGAAAATCTAGTAAGACAGCAAGGCTGAAGTACATTGTCTGGAGTTTGTGATAGATCAAAAAATAAGTCCAAGGCTAAGGTGTTAGTCAGAGCAAACCAAAAATCCCCTCCTCCTGGAAAGCATTAAGGAAACATCTGTCTAAATAGCTTCCACTCCATTCAACACTGCAGAAGTGCTGGCTAGAGAGCTGGATTCAGCTCTGGAGGAGGAAAAACAGATTAAAGAGTGTTCAGATGGGAAAAGGAATGATGAAGAGGTTTATAAAATATGAGTGATGAGGAAAGCGAGAAGAAAATCTGTTTAGTTCAGGCAGGAACACTATGGCAGAGACATGATGATCATCTTCCAGGAGAGTCATGGTAATTATAAGGAGAATATGGATTGTTTTCTCTCTGCATTCACTGGGAAATGATAAGAAGGCATCTGCAGAACTACAGCAAGGGAGACTTAGATTGGCTAGTAGAAAAATCTATTAGCTGGCACTTGTTTGCTTTTATTGTTACTGTTTCAAGAGTAAGAGCCAAATCCCCAGATGGCAAAAGCCCCATAATATCAGTGAAGTGTGGCTGATTTCCAGCACCTAATGCTCTAGTTCTAGGCTCCCACCGGCTGTTGCACATCTTGCTTACCTGTTATACAGAAGAATGTCTGGTACCCAAATCTGGTTGGCTGGAAATCGCAAGTTCTGCACCCCTGGATATTCATACTGATCCCAAGACAAGTAAACGTCAACCCAGTACTGTTGGCAAATACACACATCAGATTATATGAGCTGGTAAAAGTCTTCTAAGTTGTCTGCAATATTATGGGAGCAGAATGGATTTTGCCAGTAGCAATAACAGAAGTATGATAATAGTTTAATGCTCAGCTTTAATTATTAAGAAAGGTTGGCATATATACTGAGGGATCCAGAGTGTGATGACTGAATGCTGTGAGCTGTATTTTAATTTAGTGTCTAATCTCTTCACCTTGTGGCCTGAAGCCAGGCATCCCAAACCTTTTCTGGTGGGCTGGCAGAAACACTGGCAGTAGGCACCTCCATGAGGCATGCTGGTTCTAAGCTGAGGTGGTTTGAATGACTTGGGTATCATCAGTGGTATGTGGACCACGGTCTGAGAGTCCCTGTTTGGTGGAAACAATTTAATCTGTTACAAAGCTTGGGTGATTCTTTTAATAACCACCTTGCTATGAGAGGCAGGCAAGTGAACTTGAATATCCCAAGGGGTTGCTTCTGATTCCCTCTCCTCCACCTCAACACAAATAATTAATTCAAGAAAGGTGCAGGCACAGCTTTTGTGCTGAACCTGGTGACTTAGAGCAAAGCTCTGTGGGTGGGCTGCAAGGGAAACAGTTATCGGTGCTATAACTGAATAACCCCTCTGCAAGGGACAGGACACCCACAGGCTCTGTCCTAACAATCCTGTAGTCCTATAGGTTGGTCTGGGTTAGTTTTTGCAGTAGAAAACAACTAATTTCTGCTGCAAATCCTAGCAGGTAGCTGAGGAAGAAACAGCCCGTTCAGCTGCACCCATTAACATGAGGTAGTGTTTGGCTGCTAAAATCAAAGCAGAATTGGTTCAATCATTCAAGTCTCCCACAGCTTCTTCCCTGCAGAGCTGCATCTTTACTAAGCACAAGTCATTAAAGAGATCGGTTTACACACTGTAAGAAAACACTGTATCTCTTGCTGTATGCAGTAAGCAGCAGACCTGACAGGAAAGTCCCTCCCCCAAAGCCCTCAGTGAAGATCAGTCTTGCTTATCCTGCATGACCAGTGCACGTCACTCCTCAGCTGGAGCAGGTTGCAGAAGAAGGAGGAGGAAGGTTTATGGATGAGGTTTGTAAAGCACAAGAGAAGGCAATGTTCCCACTGACATGCGTGGGCACTGCCAGCAGCAGCACTGCAGCATAGGGCTGCTTGCAGTCCCTGGCTACCACACCACCCAGACCAAGTAGTCTCCACATGGTCCAGCATAGCTGCATCACTTCTGTGTTTGGGGGCAAGTGCAGGGGTTCTTTGTGCCCTGCCTTCCACAGGGGCACCCCTGGCTCATTGTTTCAGACAGAGGTGGGGATTTTCCCAGAAGCCATGAGTGCAGGGGAGCCCAGATCTTACTGGGTGTCTGGCTCCTTCACAACAACCCCCACCACTGGCCTTGGTGAGGACCTTGAACCCATTGAAGAATCTCTCCTTCAGCTACAGTAAGACCCTAACTTTTGGCTGTTACTAGGTCCCTACATCCACTGGCCTAACAACACAGTTGTTGTCACCCTTCAAAGGTCAACAGGTCTGCTCAGAGAATTAATGTAGTCTCCTGTGTTTCATTTTCAATGTTAAAAGGAGCACTAGAGAAATTTCAAAGGGCTCAAAATGCCTGCTTGTTTCACATTATAGACAAGTTAAAAGACAGGAGTCTTGCTTTTCAGCTAAGAAATCACATTCAGTAGTTTGCTATTAGAAAAGATTTTTTTTTCTTGACACAGGTTACTCACCATCTGCAGCCAAGCATTTGTGATCAACACTTGATTCTTCTCGTCCTTTCAACAAAAGCAGGAAGAAAAGGGAAGAGAAGAGAAAAAGAGATGAGACTCAAAGTACAGTTTGATTACAGATGGAAGAGTTTCTGTTTCTTTTAGAAAACCCAGACTCTTGGGGTAAATAAACACAAACTATGGAGTAGATTGTGAGCTCAGTGCAAAACCACTGAACTATGTTATATGGCCCAGACTCTTATCTATCTTTTAAACCTACAGACCTCCTGCATTTATCATAACTGATCAACAACAAAAGTGAACATAATAGATAATCACTCTTATTTTGCTGGGCACAGACATCTTACCAAAAGCACAAGTTTTTTCTTCTAGCTAGTTGGTCAAAACAAGATGATTTCCAGTACCACACAGCATGCAGTAGTTGGAGAGATTTTATGTTGTATTTGCTGCCACTGCAGAACAATGGTGAAATGGTGCCGCCAGTGCTGTTCCTCTGGAGTGTCGGCATTATGTAGCTTAGCTCTGGCTGAAAGGGAAGGAATGGCTGTGGGCAAATGCTAGCACATGGCAAAAGGACACAAATGCTGCCTGAGAGGGAGCTCATGTGGTGCCTACACAGAGCAGGAGTCTGTAGGTTCAAACACCTGCATGCTGAGGCCACAGGGAAGAAGCTTTGACTTACAACAGAAACAAAGAAGCCCTCACCTAGCTGGTCTCCAAGTGCTTTAAGCAGCCACAGGGTGCCCAGCATGCTGCAGTTAGCCTGCAGGTGCAGGACCCTATGGTGTTACTGCCACAGAGAGGATGGAGAAGCAGGGCTGCAGATTTACTGTGGTGCAGATACTCAGATCCACACCCCTGCCTGGCACAGCTCCAGATACCACCAGAGGCATGCCCTGCACTTCCCAGGAGCTGTGGCTGAGGTACTCAGTGGGGCTGGCTCACTGTATGCCCGGCTGTCTCCACACCGTGGGGAGGTGTTTCTTCTTCCTCAGAGCATCACCTGTGTTCAACTCTTACCTCTCCAGAGAGCACCTAGCTTTGACTGAGGTGCATCCTGAAGCTTGCTTTTGATACTGTAGCTGGGGGCAGGCCTGACTAATGCAGCCACATTCTTGGCCAAGAGGCATACCAGGAAGAAACACTTTCCTTCTCTGATTCAGCTCAGCTCTCTTGGGCACATGTTGGAAGGCACAGCTTTGGCCTGGCCCAGGTGACTCACTTGTCCACAGCAAAAAGTGGAATACCTTCAACCTGTTTTGTCCTGGATTGCCACACTATGGTGCATTGACTTGACTCCTGTTCCTACAGATAAGTTGAAATAAACTATGATTTGGGCCTCTGAAACACCTCTCTTCTTTAATTAGAGGCAAAATTTTTGTTTGATTGTTTTCTTTGCATTCTTCCACAGACAAGGGGAAACATAGCACTCATGCAGAGACCAAAGATTAGCTACATTACAGAGAAGATAAAGACGTCTCTGAAGGACAGAGGTCTGATGTTTTAGCATCAAAGCTGCCATGAAACTCTGCAGCAAACCCTGCGAGCTGCAGCCCATCATTGCTGGACTGCAGTGATCAAACCACAACACAGAAGTATGGGAACATGGAGGCACCAACAGGATGCAAACACTCATGGCAATTATGCTGTAAGAACAGCCAGACAGGGAGCTTCACCAAGACACAAGATGATGTGTTGGCTTATGTCCTGGGTTCAGCTGGGATAGAGTTAATTTTTACAGGAACCTGGGAGGTGGGGGGCATAGCCGGGGCAGCTGACCTGAACTAGCCAAGGAGCTATTCCATACCATGTGACATCATGCTCAGTATATAAATGGGGAGCGGGCTGGGGGGAGCTCTCTCGACTTTCTTTCGGTGGGAGAGTGGTGGAGCGTCGGGTTCCGGGTGGTGAGCAGTTGCACTGTGCATCACTCTTTTTGTATACTCTTTCATTAGTACCGTTGTTGTTGTTGTAATTTTTTTTTGTGTTGTCCCAGTAAACTGCCTTTATCTCAACCCTCGAGGTTCCAGGTTTTTTTTCTTTTCTCTCCACCGTCTCCTCCCCATCCCACCGGAGGGGGGCAGGAGGACTGAGCGAGCGGCTGCGTGGTCCTTTGTTACCGGCTGGGCTGAAGCCACGACAGCTTAGCAAATTTCTAAGGAGAATCTCCACTGCCTACCCATGGGTCCAGGCTCAGGCTGTCTCCTGATCAAGTTACTTCCCAGGCTCCTGATGATAACTAGCTCCTCTGGAAGGCTGAGCTACCTAGCTATGTGTCTCTGTGTGTGTTCATGCCCTAAGAAGCACATATGGTTGTCTGCAGTGTTTGGAGTAGGAATGTTGCACTTGCAACTGCTGTGGCAGGCATTTAAACCTTACAATGTATCCTGGGCATGCAGGCCCTCCCTGGATATGTCCTCAATGTAAAAGACGAGTTAGCATGTGCTGGCCATTTTCCTCCATGCCAAATGTCTATCTGACTACCACCTCTCCTGCTCCACATGAGTCCATGCCACTTGTACTGTTCATTGGCATCCAAAAAGCCTGGTCTCCAATACCACAAGTTAAACCACAGTCCTGAAGTAGCCTGGGCTTTTTGATTCACTCTGATCCTAAATTACACTATTTTTTTGCAGTACTTATTGGCTAACAAGGCAGCAAAGCCAAAACTGCCTTATTCAAACACCAGTCTGCTCACCTCCAGTTAAGTTCATGCTCTTGTTCCTCCCCTCCTCCCCTCCAGAGCTAGCCTCACAGTATATATGCAAAGAATCTACCACAGACACATCAGAAAAGATGTGAGCTGCTCAAAAGCAAACTGCATCATCTCACACTGAGCTGCATCACTAGGTGTGTGCTTTCTTCTGTGAGGCCTCTGGGTTTACTTCTCTTTTGTCCCATGCAGGAACTGCAGACTCTCCGGCTAACTCATGAAGCAGAATTGCATGGAGAAGCCTCCTAATTACTAATTCCCCAGCACACAGGATACTGGACCACTGGTACTGCTGAACCCTCAGCATGAACCTTGTCTGTGTCATGATGTCCTCTCTTCTCTCACTTGGGTTGTTGGAGCTGCAGAAACACCCCAACCTAGAAAAGGAGACATCAGTGATCGGGAGGATTCCTGGTTGTTTTGGCACTGTGGGCAGAGTTATCCTCTACAGCCAGGCTCCCAGTCCCAGGAAAACCAAACTTAAGGCATGAAAGAGGCCTTTGTCATAGCCTTCCACGCAAAAATGTCTATTGCACTACCTCCCCTTCTGCTCCTCTTGAGTCCCCTTGAGACCTGCCTAAACAGCTTCTGCTGCTGGGAGATGCCACACAAAAATCAGCTGGGATTTTATATCATGTTATACTGTTCATACATTTCCCTTTCACCTCTCTGCTGGTCCCCAAAGTGTGGCAGCAAATATGTGCCTCTCTTTGTGCAATCTACAACCCGCCTCAAGAGACCCTGTCCATCTGCAACTCACTTTGTTCCCTTGGTTGCAATCGCTAAAGCAGTTGTAAGAAAGTCCACAGAAAAATAAGAAAAGAAAAATCACACGCAGGACTAAGCTTGTTGAGACATGTTTTTTAGATGCTGAAGGATTCAAAGGGCTAAACACCAACTGGGAAAGGTATAAAATCCTAAAGTAAGAAAAAACAGAGCTGGTAATTGATCGGGTCATCAGAGTTATCTGTGTCAACTGACCTGGGAAATGAAAGCAACCCAGCAACACAGAGGCTGTGGCCCAGGAATCCTCAGTGGCCAGCTCTCCCCCATCTGACTGATGCCTTCCTGGCCACCAGTGACTCCTCAGATGTCTTCTAGGGATGGTGAGCATGATGTTCATCTGAATTGCTCATTAAATCTTAGCAATATTTTATGTTGCTAGCCAATCAATATTTGCTTTATACTTGTAAGCTGCACATGTCCTCCTTGCAAAGTCTTTCCCCATCTACATTGCACCCTATAGGGAAGGGCGGGAGGGGGCCTTCCTCTTTTTGTTGGCTGAGAGCCACAGGGAGATGCACTAAAGTACAGTGTAGATGTGGGTGCCCTATGGGTTTCCTACATGTGGAGATGCCTCCTGTCAGGAGCCTTTTATGTGTGGCTCTGGATTTATGAGGAAAGTCCTTTTTATATGGCATAGTAAGTTTATACTTGACAGAATGCAAAGGAAGACATCTAGGGCTGACTCCTGTATTTCACAAAACAGTCTGTTGCCCTTACCTGCTCCTCTGTCACACCTCTGTGAGCTCCTTGTTCAAAGTGAGATGCTAATGACCTTGATAATCAGCTTTAACTGCAAACAATTCATCAGCCATGTATTTCAGGTAGTGTTAAATTTATTACTTTGGGTATGCTTTGCCTCCTTTTCACAGGGCTACTGTCCTTACCATGTTTGTCCTGCTTCTCAGATTTGTTTTGCAGTCAAGGAAAGCTTGTCTATTAGAGTTCTCACAGGTTTATCTACAGTGTAACCATGCCCTGCATGGACTTGTCTTGCCTTTTGATAACAGCAGTCAGCAGGAGCACAATGTCTAACCAGGGCTTTGGGCTGCTTACGTCTCTCTCAGCTTGGGGGAAAAAAAATGCCACTTCAGGATGTTTTGATGGCCATTCAGAGTCTATTCTCATCCTTGACTTCAGGCTGTTGAGCTTTCAAAGGGTGTTTGGCTTTATGGACAGCAAAACACAGAAAACGTTATTACCATATTCAGCACTGATCAACAGATCCAGCCTCATGGGTTGGTCCTTCTTATCGCAGGGTGGAACAGAAAGTTTTCCAGACAAGGATTTGAGTTGCTGGAAGTGCCTGGTTTGCAGGAGCAGCAAAGCTCACTTTACACTGGGCAGGCATTTGTCCAGGTGTAGCTCTCTTGCTAAGCCCCTTCTAGAGGAGGACCCAGAGGAGCCTGGCCAGGGGAAGAGTGACTGCTGGGGCTGCCCAAGAGGTGAGAGCTGTGGGAATCTAGAGTCTGAATTCATCCCCTGTTAGAGCAAGAGTCTTTTAAGGGCAGAGGTGTTTATGGAGCCTTCCATCTTTGCAGGTGTGGTC